ATTTTCCGCGCTAGAGAGTGGTGCATTACTAGAGGGAGATAGGCTGTTCAAACCGATCTCATCCTCACCTCGCATCACTACCTCTTTAGAGAAGCCAACATAGCTGGAGCTAAAGCCCCTCCCTCCTCATTTGGAGTATGCATTTCTCCGGGAGGGGAACAAGCTCCCAGTTATCATTAGCTCGACCCTCACACCCGAGCAGGAGGTCAGACTGGTGGCCTTGCTGAAGGCATAAGTCTGGGGCATAAGATCTCCAAGATGGGGATTGAGGTGGACAGAGCCAAGAACGAGACTATCAGTAAGCTGCCTCATCCCACATCTGTTAAGGGGATCCGGAGTTTCTTAGGCCATGCAGGGTGCTACAGGCGGTTCATCAAAGATTTCTTGAAGATCGCCCTGCCCCTGACAAAGCTCCTTGAGAAGGATGCCCCCTTCCAGTTCACCGATGCATGCACATCGGCATTCACGACCTTGAAGGAGAAGCTCACTCATGCTCCTCTCATGGTCGCCCCTTACTAGTCCCTACCATTCGAGATGATGTGCGATGCCAGTGACTTTGCTGTTGGAGCTGTCTTGGGGCAAAGGCGAGATCAAAACTTACGTCCTATCTACTACGCCTCGAAGACCCTCAATGATTCCCAGGAGAGCTACACCACCACGGAGAAGGAGTTGCTCGCGGTGGTGTTCGCCTTCGACAAGTTTCGTCCCTATCTGGTCTTGTCCCATGTGACCGTGTATACAGATCCCTCCATGATCCGATACCTGATGAGCAAGTCTGATGCCAAGCCTAGGCTCATACGATGGATCCTACTACTACAGGAGTTCGACATCGAGATTCGGGACAAGAAGGGAGCTGAAAATGTTGCTGCTGATCACCTCTCGTGGAGGAGATCAACGACTCCTTCCTAGATGAGTGACTAATGATGATGTTCCTGGCAAAGAGTGTCACCCCTTGGTACTCCAATTTTGCAAATTATCTGGTGGGCCATCATCCGTCGTTGTGTCATGGAAAGTGAGATGGAGGGCATTCTGTCTCACTGCCATGAGGGACCTACTGGCGGTCACCATGGCGGTAACGGCATGGCGAGAAAGGTGCTACAGCCGAGCTTTTACTGGCTCACGCTCATTAAGGATGCAGACTCCTTCGCACGCAGGTGCGAGCGATGCCAGAGGTCAGGTAATATCTATGCCCGTGATGAGATGCCCCATAATGTATTTATAACCTGTGAGATTTTTTATGTCTGGGGTATCGACTTCATGACCCACTTTCCTCCATCTTTTGGCAATACTTACATCTTAGCTGCTGTTGATTACGTCTATAGGTGGGCTAAGGCGCAAGCTTTGCCCACTAATGATGCTAGACGTGTTTGTGGGTTTTTGAAGCAGCTATTCTCCCGTTTCGGGACACCTAGAGCCATCATAAGCGACCGAGTCACCCATTTCCAGGGCCAGTTTGATAAGTTACTGTCTCGCTATGGTGTCACTCATAAGTTGTCTGTGGCCTATCACCCTCAAACGAGTGGTCAGGTCAAGCTGACGAATCGGGAGCTCCCTGAGCATACCGGACTGCCTACAAGACGCCAAACTCGATGATGCTCCCTGGGCATACCGGACTGCCTACAAGACGCCAATTGGTACTTCACCGTACCGGCTTGTCTATGGAAAGGCATGTCACCTGCCCGTGGAGCAAGAGCACAAGTCCTTCTGGGCCCTTAACGTGCTCAACTTGGTTGTTAGTGTTGCAAGTGTCGAACAAAAATTGCAGATGCTAGAGCTGGAGGAATGGTGTTACCACGCCTATGAGAACACCAAGCTGTATAAGGAGCATACTAAGCACCTCCACGACGCTCGGTTAAGGGGTCTGAAGGAGTTTCAGGTTGGTGATCGAGTTCTCCTCTATAACTCTCGCCTGAAACTCTTTCCTGGAAAGCTCCGCTCCCGGTGGTCTGGACCGTTCACGGTCACACAGATGTTCCGGTATGGCAGTATTGAAATTTTCAACCCACAAACTGAGTCGTTTAAAGTGAATGGCCATCGTTTCAAGCTCTATTTCGGAGACAAGGTCGAACGTGCGGAGTTGGTTGTTGAACTCGCGGACCCTTAGTTCCACCATGGGCGTCCAGCTAAAAGACGGTAAAGAAGCCATTGTGGGGAGGCAACCCCACCACGGTTTACATTTATTTTTTCCTTTTTCCTTTGTTTTGTGGTGTGTTCGAGTCAGTTGCGGGTCTATTGTGAAGTTAGGTCGTCTGATCTGCCTCAGTTTAGTGTGTTCGTGCAGGGGTGTTCGAAAAATTGAGAAAAACAGCATTTTGGCCGAATAAGGGATTATACCCGGTCGTGCCTCAAAATACCCGACCGGGTATTTTGGCGTCACGGTCGGGACCCATTATGCCCCGGGGGCGCGGAAAAGGGAAATCCCCGACCTTGACCCAAAAACCCCCGACCAAGGATTTTGGCTTCTCGGCTGGGTTTTTCCCTCAGTCAGGAAACGCTGCGTTTTCGGAATACCCAGCCGCAGTCTCAAAATACCCGACCGGGTATTTTTACTTTAAAAGCGAACCCCCGATCATCACTTTCTCTCTCCTTTCATTTTTTTTCTTCAGAACACTCCCTCTCTTCCTCCTCTTTTCCTCTCCCTTCTCTCTCGCGTGAGCGACCGCCAGCCGCCGCCGTCACCGCTGTTTTCCTGCGACCATCCATCGACTTTTCCGGCGAGCCTTCCCGGGCATTTTTCTGAGCTTTTTCCGCATCCCTCACCCTTTGCTCGCGTCCGTTTACGGTCATACTTGTGTTTCCAGGTGTGTTTCTTGTTTAAGTTGCTCTTTTTTTGGAGGATTGGACTGTAGATGTTAGGACCGATAACTATGCATTGTCTGGCATGTTTGAATTAAAATAGGGTGAGGGCTGCCATAGGGATGATTGGTTACTGCTTGTGTGATGCCCAGTTGCTCGGATTGGATCGTTTATGCATGATTCTTACTTTAGTTGCGGTTGTTTTATCAATCGTTTGGGCTTGATTGGTTGCCTAGGTGATGTCCTTACAGTATGGGGGAACTATTGAACCCGTACTGTTGATTCTAACGAGTATTTTCTTTGCTCCACCTTTGGGTTGTTGATTTTGCAGGATCATGTCTCTCGACCATCCCTTCATGTAGGATCTGCGCCTGCACCCGGAGTACGCAAACCAGTACCGCCGGGTCATACGCGGAGTGCTCCAGAGCCATCACTACTTGGAGTGGGGGGTCTTCGAGCAGCTTCACTGCCTGAATGAGATCTTCACCGCCATTAGCCACCCTGATTGACAGGTTCTGCCGTGCATCGATGAGGCCACCTGCACAGAGCTGGTGTGGGAGTTCTACACTACATTCTGGTACCGCTCCAAAGCGACCCGGGACTCCCCCACAGGTGTCACCTTCGGGCTGGGTGGGAACCTATGGGAGATGAGCATCAATGGGCTGGCCTATGCACTAGGGATTCACTACCACCCCTACTCCCGCCTTGAGGTCGAGATCTCCCATCCGAATGACTGGAACCAGGATGCGTTCTACCGCCGCATAGCTCGACGTGCTTACGAGATCGACTTGGCGAGACTCACGGATGGCACAGCACGGGGCGGCTCCACCCTTCTCAGCCGGGAGGTGCTTCACAACGCGCTCCTGCTGGCCTCTGATGGAGCGCATTCCTGGGTGGATGGGTTGTCCCTGCCTCCCGAGGAGGATGCAGATGATGATGATGAGGACGACGAGGACGAGGACTACACCGGCGGGGATGAGGCCGATGTTAATGACGATGATGATGGCGGGGCCATGAATGCTGATGAATCGGAGCCCCCGCTCTCCCCCTAGGGGATCTTCAGCCACGACAGAGATCCGAGAGAGGCGAGTCCTCCTCCGGTCCTTCTGGTCCATCGATGGCTTCTGGTTCGTCGATGGACTTCTTCACGGAGCAGTTCCACTAGATGGGGATCCAGTTTCAGTAGCTCGGGGTCCAGATGCAGCAACTCATGAACCATCAGGTCTAGTTTTACCAGTAGTATTCGGCCCACTATGCCGAGTACCACTCTCGGAATGGAAGATGCTTTCCAGAAGTTTCCTGCTATCAAGGACAAGTATATGAAAGCGATTCCAAACCTATGCAATTATGGTTCCTTTCCCTTTCTCAAAGGAGATGAAATGTGACAAGTAGAATCACTACCTAACATCAACTCTTTAAAATTACAAAAATGCTTGAAAAATATTTAGTAAATTTATTCACGAATATTGATCTAACATTGCTTTATTCTCATGTTCTTACCGCAGCATCACAAAAATCACCACCATCTATTAGAGCCACATCCAAAAGTTGTATGTATTTCGAGAAAAAAATAATGGATCAACAACATCAACAAGGTTGCTAAGCTCTAAAATTACCTCGGCATGCATGTATATGTTCAATGATACTGTATATTATACACATCAAATGTAAGAAACAAGTGGCTGGTTTTCCTACAAACTACATATTTAGTTATATTCTACTTTATTTTCTCCAGTTTGTCCATTTATATTACACCCCTTATCTTTTTATATTACACCCCTTATCTTGGACGTGTATGTTGAAGATAACTATATGTACACCATTTCTCTCTCTCTTTTTTTTTTTTTGAAACCTGGGCGCTTAAAGGGCGCCCCAACCTTTATTCAGAAACCAGGCAGGGTGTTTGGAGCCCAAGAGTGTCATGATTCTACCAATAGGCAAACTCGCTATCTTCTTCATCCGACATTCAAATTTGGCCTTCTCCAGCAAATTTCTCAAAAAAATTGACGGCAGAATGTGATTGTTGTGAAACCTGTCAAGAGCAATTTAGGTGCATAGGGCCAAATATGTGCATCATATATCACCACTATCATTAACTTTTAACAACGTAGTCAAACTCAAATTTCATATTTTTTTCATAGAATAATTGAATTATACACTGCAAAAATGCATCCACTATGTCTGATATATTTACTTTGTTCTCCCTCCGCTTCCAAAGTTTCTTTCGTGGTTTTGCATCCTTCTGAATTTAGATTCAGTTCATTCAAATTTAAGTGTCTTAACGACAATCAATCACGCACGAGTTAACCAACTGTCTAGAGTTCCATAAGGCATAAGAATGCCCTACTCAACAAGACAGATGTTCATTTACACAAGAGACATGCTAAAACAGGAGTTACAGTTCAACCTGGGTTTTCGAATTCTGCCAGAATTCCCCAAGAGCTCAAGCATTCTTGCTCGAATTGTTACATGAATACGGACCGGTACTTCTGTCGTGTGGAATAGACCAAAGCTGAAGCCGTTAGATGACTGACTGACACAGCAAAGCAAGATGCTGCTCGAACCCGTTGACAAAAACCAGGGGTGATATACAGTAATGCCTCTCTCCAGTCATCCCCCCATCTCTCCGTGTTGGTATTCCCCCCATCTCTCCGTGTTGGTATTTCGAAGAGATGGTGAAGCACGCTAATGTTGCCCCAACCAGCAAAGGGAAGGGAAACCATCTTGTTCTTATCATGGAACTTACAGAGACCAACCAAAATTACTCAATCAGTCTCAATAGAACTAGCTGTAACAGTAAGGTATTAGATTCAAACAGTTAACTCCATACCTTAACCCAGCGTATCAGTATGATATGTATCTGCAGTTTCAATTGCTTCTCTCAAAGCTTGAGGCCCCAAGCATCTGAGAACCTATACCCACGACCCCCACAAAATTTTCAGGTTACTTGGGTTGTAGGAAAACATTGATAGAGCATAGAAAAGCTTATATTTTCCCTTGAATGCATGGAGCTCATCATAAGAAACCAGTCTTTCTGGCATAAAGATGATAACTTTGCCTGTTCAAATGGGTGTCAACACCCTAAGCGCCTAACTCAAACACAAATAAACTTGTGTTTGAGAAGGAGCAGGAATAGCAGATAACAGTAAGGAAAACATTAAACATGACAATGAAAAACATACCTCATTGGCATCTTTGAAGACATCAGAGTCACCGTTTCTGGGCCAACGTACAAGCCAACATCTGACGCAAGGAAACCAGCATAACAAGGCACAAAACTAGAAGGCTTAGTATTACGATATTGTCCAGGCTGGTGAACGGAAGCATCATGCTGGTTCCAAAACAGATATCACTAATAAAATCACATGGCGAAGAGAAGAAACAACCTTTCTTTTCCCAACCGACGTGCTAGCTCTTCTGCCAATGCTTGTCCAGATGAGTCACCATCAGTAGCCAGGATAATGCGTGAAAACTAATGAGGTTCAATAAGAAAACAGAGAGCATGAGTAAAAGCTTTAGGATGTCCATGAATCGCTACAACAACTTCTCTCCAAATGCTTACTTTATCCAAGTACTCTTTGCAGTTCCATATGTACTGAAATGCTCTATCCTGGCTTCAAACAGCATACATGCACATGACAAAAAAGATGAGATACTTTACTAACAAGGATAATAATGTCTGCTATGCATCAAAATATACTGACATAGGATTTGAACATTCAAAAGGAAATATCAAAGCCATGTAAGCAGCCTTTTAACACACAATATGCACAAAGGAAACATGCTGGTCTCCCGTTCAAACCTTTTCTGCTGAAGGTAAATCTTTGGATGACACTGTTATTGGTGCACCTGCCGGAACACTCACGCAATTACGGAAACCAGCTTCCTCTAATGAAAGTTTATCGATTTCCCCTTCCACCTTGGATAACATGAAAAAAGAAATCAAGTACAAAAAATGAAAAATGCCGGACACGAAGGGAGGGAGCAGAATCAAACAGAAAGTAGAAAGAAATGAAAAACAAGGAAATATAATTTACTATAATGATTTCAGTGGCTTCAGTTATGTCATCAAGTCCATATAACCACTTCTCTGTCCCACTCTCCTGAAAATTTAAAAACATTTCCGTTGTAATAAATCACAGAAGATTAGATCTGAGTAAGAGGTACTGATGCAGTGGTTATCAGTGCTTAGAACATTACGTTTAAAAATATACCCACCTACCTGCCAAAACCTTTTGTCTATGGTACGGTACTTGCAGCCAACAAGCTCTCCACCTTTTCTGTAAGTAAAAGCAATGACAGCCTGCATACAGTAGGATTAATAAAGTATCAGATTCTTGATACAAACTGGTAGATATTATGCCATCATGCTGAAAACAAAATGATCGAACCAAAGGTCATAATCCAGGATATAATTTCGGTTTTGAACAAAATTAGAAGGTTCACTACACTCTTCTGAACTTACAAAAACTGAAAGTTCTGGATACCAAAATTACTAACAACTAAATATGAACTAAAAGGAGTGGGTTTCATAACCTGAGATGTCTGCATAACTGCATTCCTCCGCAGAGTTCCTTCAGAAATCCTTCTCTCATTGAAGTAAAGAACCAACTGCAAAAAGGAAGTGTAAGTGCACAATTCTATGCTCTTCACACAGACATTTGAAAGAAACTTTTGGAGAACTACAATGCCTGCTTCATACAATTTTGTGTGCATCTGCACATATATCTTTAGCATAAGTTACTTAAAGTACATATGTGAGAAGTAATAGGCACACCTTATCTCCTAACGGTTCTAATCCTATGCCCTCAGCTGTCAACTTGTCGGATGATTCAACTTTAAGCATCAAATTCATTCCTTCCATTGTTTCCCTGTGATTGGCAAAGGCCTACAAGCAAAAGCTACCTTGATCACTCTAATGTCTTACAACGATTTTTCAGCTTCTTACAAAATTACACAAGGGAAGCAAATCAAAAGATTGCCTAACCTGCCCTGCCCATCCACAACTAGGACGAAAACACCTCCACATAGCAAACTCCCTGGACAACATACACCATTCGCAAACTCAAATGAAGCAGCAGATCACATTGAAATTTGAAAGACTGAAACAAAAGAAAGTTCAAGCAGAACAACATATTCAATTTACCCATCTTGGATAATGTGGAAAGATAAGCAGCTCTCCATTGACTTGCCACCTTTGCACTGCAGATATCCATTCCACCCAAACAGCAAGTTAAGAAATTCCATAAATTAGCGACAGAAATGGATATTGTCGACCAGATGAAACATGACTAAACCTTGGGGCAAAGCAAGTGAGTGAACAACCCAGCCACACAGGAATCGTCAGTCTTAATCCCGAGAAACTCTATTTTCTTCTTCAACATCCTCGATTTATGGCGGACCTCAAGGGTTCCCACTTCCGAACCGGACAGCACAAGTGGGAGGCTGGCGGTAGAGTAGCGAGGCCGCAAGAAGCCATTGCGAGAACGGAGACCGCCAGCCGGTGATGAACACCAAACAATTGGAAGGCGGAAGAGCGGCAGCCAACGACTTGCCACCGCAATTGGCGCCATTTCCTCGATAAAGCTCACCGGAATCAACCCCCAACCCAATCCAACCAACCACTGCATACGGAAACGGGAAACTCACTGCGAGTAAACGAGTAGGAGACGGACATTTGGCTATTTGCAGGTCGAAATGGGCCTGGCCCAATGAAGATTAAGCCCATATCTCCTCCCGTGCCAAAGCCCTAACCCTAAAGAGGAAATAAATAATTAATAATAAACAATAACGGCCTCCGGCTCCTCCTCCGCCATTTTTGGAGGAACCCTAACCGCCCACCCTCCCCACTTTCTTTCTCTCTCCGGTACGCTGAATATAATTTCCACAAGGACGACGACAGTTAACGATACTTCCCCCAAACATTGCAGAGAACAGTATCTATTCTCTCTCAAATCTAACTTCCCTACAGATTCCCACTTTGGCGCCATGGCTGCATTGAGCTTGTGTTCCAGCTACCACCAGCAGCAGCATTATTTCAACTATTTCCCGGAGGAGGAGGACCAATTCACTGCCGCCGCCGCCGCCTTCCCTCTACTTCCGGCGTACATTGAAACAGAGGCGGTGGGATTTGACACAGAGATGCTCGCAATTGATCACGATCAGCTCCAATTCAACTGCCTCCTCCCTTCTCATCAGGATTATGCAATTCCTGAGCCCCTTTTCGAATTCGATTCTGACAGCTTCCTTCCTTACTTCTCCTCTTCCTACGACGACCACAACCTCATTTCCCTCTGCCCTGAAATCTTCCCTCTCAACGAGCTGGAAAATTTTCCATACTCTTACCACCGAGAATTTCAAAAGCCAACTCCACCACCGCCACCACCCGCTAGCTGTGATCGGAATCCTGACTTCTTTTATTGCTGCACAGAGCCTAGCCTCTTCCCCGGGTTCCCTGCTCCGGCGACGGTTGATTTTCTGGATGACATTCCAGTTCCAGCTGCTCCGTTGCCGGCTCCAACGTTTGAGCCGCCAGCTGAGCCGGTGAGATTCAGCATTGGGAGGTGCGGCGGCAAGGAAGACGAGGATGTGATGAACAAGAAACAGAGCAATGGGGATGGAGTGACCTTGTCGGCGCAGAGTATTGCTGCGAGGCATAGAAGGAGGAGGATAACGCAGAAGACTCAGGAGCTAGGGAAGCTGATTCCTGGTGGGAACAAGCTGAATACTGCTGAGATGTTCCAAGCTGCTGCCCAATATGTCAAGTTCTTGCAGGCTCAAATAAGCGTTCTTCAATCCATGGACTCGCCTCAGGTATTTTGCCAAAAAATAAAAAAGCTTTCAACTTTCTGTCGTTTGCCTTTCTGGGTTTTGTCCGAGATGATTGATTGATTTCTCTCAACCATACAGGAACCAATTGAGGTCCCGAAAGAGCTGCAGACGCTGGTGACGTCGCCGGTGATCCAGCAGAAGATGTATTCGGAAGAGAAGTGCCTGGTCCCAACGGAGCTTCTCCAGAAACTGGTGAATCGTTCTGAGGTCCAATCGAAACCGATGATTATGAAGGAGGTTGATGTGTTGCTGTTAAACAAACAACACTGACACGCAATTCCGTTTTGCTTAGTTTAGTTAACGTCTACAGTTCTTACTTAGCTTTTTTCTTGTTTGTTGTTGTCTCTGACACTTACTTGTTAGGGATAGCTCTGTTTTTTCCATGTTTCTGTTGATAGGTAACTGCTTCTAAACTTAGGTCGTACAGCCCTAATCTAATCATCTGATTACAGTCCTAATCTAATCATTTGATTAATCCTCTGTAAAGCTCTGGTTACCCTAGTTAATGGATTTCCTCATTCCAATTCCACCATTTTCTCTTTCATGTTCCGTTCCCTTTGTATACTTTGAAGGAAGGTAATCCAGGTTTGTTTTTTTTTTTTTTTGACGGGAACCTGCATTGGTAATCCAGGTATCCGAAGAGCATAATGATGGTGGTTTTTAATATTACAGTAATAATAATTATTAAGTTCCCACCAAAATAATAATTACCACAATTTCCAGTTTCTGTACAATAATAAACCTGCAGCCATATTATGATCCGGGTTATTCGCAGGAAACTGTTAAGAAGATAAAACATTTTCCCGAAGTTTAACCGATCATTTCCACCATACTTGAGAAAAGGAAAAGGGAGAAGTTACCATTTTTCTTCATCTCAACTACTTTCTCCAATGGCTGCCGCCGCCGCGGAGTACTTCATCTTCCTCCTTTCCCTCGCGGCTTCATCAGTACTAATTTCCACTTCCCATTCTCGAACTGTCGTTGAAGATCTTGCAACGCTTAAACCTCCGCCGGACTTCGACGCGATGCTCCGAACCAACTGCGTACACAACCCGTCTCACCGGTACTGCGGCTTCTCCCCTGCCGACATCGACGCTGTCTTCAAGTCCACAATCGTCGCCAGCTACCTCTGCAACGAGTCCCGAAACCCAAACTGCGTTGAGTCTTTCCCCAGAATTGATCTCCGGAACCGACCCAAAATCGCCCCGCTCTATCTATCTTTCAATTTCTTCTGGAAGTACTGCCCCATAAGCATCAACTCCATCGATTTATCCAACAATTCCATCACCGGAAGATTCCCCGCCGACGTCCTGCTCTGCACCCAAATCAAGTCCCTTGATTTCAGCCACAATCGGCTCACTGGCGATCTCCCGATCAAAAGCTTCGACCCTCTCACCAACCTGTCGTCCCTCAACCTGTCGTACAATTTCTTCTCCGAGGCCAAGATCTCGGATTCCCAATCCTTCCTTCGCCGGTTCAATTCCTCCAGTTTTATCGATTCCGGCCTCCTCCCCTGTCCCAGAACTTTCACCCTCAAGGCGGTGCTTCTATTGGTTGCATTTCCAGTATTCGTCATTCTTGTCATCTGTTGCTTCGGGTGGCTCTGTTTCCGTCGACCGGATTATCTCCCCCGATTTCTCCAGCCACAGCACCGTTTCACGACGTCGATGCTCCGGGCTGCCACGGACGGGGTTTCCAGGAAGAATCTGGTGGTAAAGAGCGAAGAATTCCGTATATTCAGAGGAAGGCTGCGAGATGGATGTGAAGTCAGGGTCGAGATTCGCTTAAACGACATCGATCTTCACCACCATCATCATCACACAAATATTACATCCGAGTTTGTGGAGGAATGCAAGGTTCTGGTTCAGCTCCGCCACAAGAACTTGTTAGGAGTGATGGGATGGTGTGCAAGCAGAGAAATGCGAGCCGTGGTGACAGAGTGGACCGAAGGCGACGACGTGGAAATGTGGCTGTCAGGATCCTGTCCTCCATGGAAACAGAGGCTCAAAATCCTGATGGGGGTTGTTGAAGGAATGTGCTACCTTCAGGAGAACTGGCCTGAAGTTGGTTACGACCTCAGGACAGGAAGCTTGCTTCTCCGCTACATAAACCTGGAGCCTCTCATTACTAGATTCAAAGTCGGAGAGGACGACTTCAACTCCAAAAGTAAGCAAAACCGAATCCTGTGTTTTTTCCTTTCTTGGGATAATCTGTCAGAATTAATCAAGGAAATCCTGATCGTGTTGAATTGTGTTATAAACAGAGGTGTACAAGATAGGAGTGCTGCTGTTGGAGCTGATAACGAATCGACGGCCAAGGGAAGATTTCAAGAGGGGAGAGGCTGGGTTCGTCGAGTTCGTCAGAGCGAATTACCCAGAAAACTTGGGAGGGATAATTGATGACAGGATGATGTTGCCGGAGAACATGCTGGATCAAGCTAAAAGTGGGGTCGGATTGGGGCTGATGTGTACCGATCTGTCGATGAGCAAACGGCCGAGTGTTCATCACATACATGACATGATACGGAGGGCGTATAAGGCTTGTTTTGCCTTGACGTCCCAGAATTGCGAAACCAGAATAAATCGTAGGGATGGTGGGAAGGGACAGAGATAGGCTCGTCAAATATAGAGCTTTTGGGTAATGGATTGATGGAGTTTCAGTAGTACAGGCTGATTGAAGCTGTATTTTCTAGAGAATGATCACTTGTTTCTTACTTGTGTTTCTGTAAGATATATATATCATGAAATTTTTCTATCGTGACTTATAGTTATCGTATAATGGGTTTTGTAGGTCCCATTTTGTAATTTATATTTGTTCAAATTGTGTGTTTTGGAACTTCAACATTATTGAAAGTCTTGTATGTTTAACCTACATAATAAACAAATTCAAGAAGATCTAGAGGTTATGTAAAAATGATTAGTCAACTTCTTAAAGATGGGCCATCGTTAGTTTAAAAACAATTAGCCTAATCAGAAAGATAGTAAATCTAATTGGATTGGATTGATAGATTAGAAACGTGATTATCATCTTTATAGATAAAATGAATCTCGTAACATAGAAGGATTAACTAGGCGTTTGATTTAGCTGACCTCACATAGTAGATTGAACCCTAGTCCCTATAATATCCAAGTGAATGATTATCTAGTCGGCCCTCCTATCCAGCATCATCGAACGAGTATCACAATGCATCAACATAAGGCTATGAGTTTTTCGGACATAAAATGTATAGCGAGAGCGGGAATGATAATTACAAATGGATAAATTTTAAAAGTACAAGATGATTGAGTTTGAAGAGTTTTTTTTGTTTTTTTTTTTTTTACAGGTGTTGATTGGTAGGTAAACAAACAGTGAAGTGTTTGTGATGTTTCACGATACTTATATAGCATGAATCAAAGGCACAATGAACATTAATTCTTGTAGTCATATCAAACTTGTCGTTCGATCATGATCATGTCGCTCTAATAGGCAATAGTGAACTGCTTGATGCTGCAAATCAAAATTGAAGAATGAAGTCAAAATAATAACTGGTGCATAAAATGGCGCATGGAAAAAGAAATTCAAAGCGGATTCCACTTACTTGTCACATTTGAGGTTCTTAGAGAGGGGAAAGGGAACAGTAACGTTGCATAGCCCAGGAATTTTCTGCAAATCCTCGTCTTTGATGGTAGGGAACTTCTGAAAAGCAGTAGCCAAGCACTTGCAGGCGGCGGTCTTGTCCTCGACCGTCGTTGCGCTATCGGCGAGGTTGTGTAGGCCGTTGCAGCAGGTCTGTGGAACTTTGTCCTGACCTCCTTGAGCGAACTGCAGGCATGGCATGGCATCGATTTCCACCGTGCTACATTGGACAGCCTTTGGCGTTGGCTGTCTGCTCTCTGCAACACAAATGAAGAGGACGGCGGAGATTCCAAATATGATGACAATGTTTGAGATGATGGCCTTCTTCATCATCATCATGTTGTTGTTTTGATGGTACTTTGCTAGCAATATATATGTATGGGTTTTGAGGGAGAGAAGTTGTCTTTGTGAGTTTGATGGAAAATGAAAGAAGGAGATTTGGCTTTATATATCCTACAAGTTTTGTCTTCTGTATATATCATCAACACATTTTAAGTAATGAGACATTGCGTTAAGGTTCAGGATTACGTAAATGAGAACAAAAAATAGTTCCAATGCGGAAGAGTTTGAGAGATTAGTCCACGTAATAATAATGTGAAAGGTGGGCATCGTGTCCATGGACTATCAATCTAACTCTTGTATGGGGAGCGGATATGGTGACAATACCATATTTGTTGTTATTGTAACAACATTAGTGTCTAACCAATAGGAAATTAGAGTTGTGATTACTTTTTGTCACCAAAATATGCTTGTTGTCGCCGAAATATGCTTTTTTGTCATCGGAATATGCCACCGTCGTCGGAATATGCTCACCATGGTCGGAATATGCTTACCGTCGTCGGAATCTAGTCCTCTGGGCCGGAATATGCCATTCGGCGTCGGAATCTGCTCACTGATGGTCGTCGGAGTTTGGTCAACGAACACCGGATGTTATGCTTAGTATTGTGAGAACTATAGTTTGGTTTCTCATATTTTTGTATGCCTTTTGTGGTTTGCTTTATCGTGTTTGTGGTTTGCATTGAGAAGTTTCTGGTTTGCTTTCAAAAATTTTGTGGTTTGCTTGAGGGGTTTCTGGTTTGTTTTAATATATTTGTGGGCTGCATTAGGACGTTTATGGTTTGCTTTTTGTTGTTTGATTTACTGTGTTTGTGGGTTGCATTAGGAGGTTTCTGGTGTGCTTTCACAAATGTTGTGGTTTGCTTTGTGAGGTTAATTTCTGGTTTGTTTTAATAGATTTTTGGTCTGCATTAGGAAGTTTATGGTTTGGTTTATTGTGGTTTGATTTACTGTGTTTGTGGTTTGCATTAGGAGGTTTCTGGTGTGCTTTCGCAAATGTTGTGGTTTGCATTGTCAGTTTTGTGGTTTGGTTTAGGAGATTTGTGGTATGCATTAGGAGGTTTCTGGTTTGTATTAAGAACTTTATGGTTGGCTTTGAAAAATTTTATGGTTTGATTTGTGGGGTTTGTGGTTTGTTTTAATGGATTTGTGGTCTGTACTAGGAGGTTTTTGATTTATTTATTTATTTTTATTTTTTTTTGGTTTGGTTTACAGCGTTTGTGGTTTGCATTAAATTTTTTTTATCCCACCATAATATCGAACTGAATTCCAAAGTTTCCTTTCCCTATACTTCAAAATGACCCTTCTTCATTGATCCCACCAGGAAGCAACAGTACATTACATTGAAATGGCAAAGAAGCATGGTTTAACTCCACTTCAGCAGTTCAGCTAGCCCTGGGATTAGGGGTGTCCATTCGGGTTCGGTTTTTCGGGTTTACCCGAAACCGATCTGATTATATATATTTTCGGTTTTTTCGGGATCGGGTTTTTCGGTTTCGGGTTCGATTTTGCTTATCGGTTTTTTGGGTTCCGGCTAAAAACCTCCAATTAATAAAACTCAACCTGTATTCTTAGGCGTTCGGGTTTTCGGGTTTCGGTTTTGCTTTAACCGAACCTGAACCCGATAAGGAATTTTCGGGTTTCGGGTAACCGGAACCCGCAAATCCTTATCGGGTTCGGGTTCGGTTTTAGTGGTTTTTGGTTTCGGGTTTTTGGGTTTTTTCGGGTTTCGGGTCGGGTAACCGAACCCGACCGAACTGACACCCCTACC